TAGCACGTAAGTGAATGTAATGGATTCGACTGGAATTCCTCCCATACTTTTAATCTTGATATCCAGTTTCTTGTATTTGGGCAATTTCTCGATAATTTTCATGAATGTGTTTTTCTCAGATGGTACTGCTATGTAAATTTCTTCCTGAATTTCTTGCCTTTTATAATATCAGGTCTTTGGCTTCATTATTATTATTATTATTATTATTATTAATAATAATAATAATAATAATAATATTTCCTTTGATTTCTGTTGCATATAAATTTCCTTCCGGGTACCAAACAAAATCCTTGTATTTTGATAGTTTTTTGAAGATCTTCAACGATACATTGCAGTCGGCTGTCAATTTAACTTTATCGAACCAATCAGTCTTAATATTAAGACAGGGGTAAATATTACTACTACTACTACTACTTCCAGGATATCTATATTTTTTAACATTTAACATTTTAAGACCAAGATAGCCATGCCTGGTGTAGCATCAGGGAAATATTATTATTATTATTATTTAGTTTCAGCCATTTATTGCAGTTGAGCGATAATTGCTTTTATCGATCTAAAATTTTTGTTGTAATGGTGCAAATATTTTCATTGTTTCTTGAAAATAAACCCAAGAAAAAAGAACTTAAATATCAAATAATATTCAGAAAAGAAATGATCTTGGTTCACATGGAAATGTAAAATTTCCATAGAAAAATAATCAGTCAAAATAATTTTGTAAAACAAGAGATGGCATGAATGCATGTACACGCTATTCAAATATTATTTCTTGAAAATCGACATCAGGCAAAACATAAAATAAAAACGTAGAGAGTAATTAGAACAATTCTAAAACCTTTTTCGAAATAAGATGGGCCAATAATTAAGTGTAATCAATTATTTTAAGTTGAACAGTTCATAATATTTCAAAAGTTCAGCTTGTCTTCTTTTCTTTTTTTTTTTAATCGAGCTCACTCCAAACAAGGCAGTAAAGCCACTGAGACGCAAAGGGTTACTTGACGTGGAAGAGTTAAAAACAGGAACATTGCTAAGGAGCGAGAATAGAGGAAGAGTAATCAGGAGGACATCAGATAGCGATTGGCAGTGTATTTAAATTTTTGCAGAGTAAAGTCGGCCGGAAAGCACGGGGCCGGAAGGATGTTCTACAAGCGAGGAGTGCCAGAAAAGAAACTGTTAGTATAGAATCTACGTTTATACCTCCCCAGCTTAAGTGTAAAATGGTGAGACATCGTCGTCAGTCTAGTAGAGCGCTTAAATTCTTCTTAAATTTGTGATGAGTAATATTTAAACTAATCTCTTACCCTGAACAAAATGTTTGCCAGCAGCTTCCGTACACTGTATAGTTCATTGTCTATCATAAATATCACGCAAATGGATTATTAACCTTTTCGTACAAGTAACGTATGTTTAGCACTGGCTTGTGTAGAGAATTGTCCGGACGTATTTTTATTTTAATCCAGTTCACCCGAAGCAAGACAGTAAAGCCACTGAGATGCAAGGGGTTACTGGGTGTAGAAGAGTTAGAAACAGGAACATTACTAATAGCGAGAACAGAGAAAGAGTAATCAGAAAGACAGCAGATAGCGATTGGCAATGTATTTAAATTTTTGAAGATTAAAGTTGGACAGAAAAGCATGGAACCGGAAGCTAGAAGTGTCAGAAAAGAAACTGTTAGCATAGAATCTACGGTTATATCTCGCCAGCTTAACTGTAAATTGGTGAGACCTCGTCGTCAGTCTAGTTCTCCCAAATCAAGACATTAAAGCCACTGAGATGCAAGTGGGCATGGAAGAGTTAGAAACAGGAATATTGCTAAGGAGCGAAAACAGATGAAGAATAATCAGGAGCACGGCAGATATCGATTGATATTGTAATTAAAAAAAATTATCAGTACATCTTTTATTACAGACTAGCAGTAGAGCCCGGCGTTGCCCGGGGATGTAACAGTAAGAGATAGATCAAGTATCGACCATCATGAAGACTGAAAAATAAAATTGACAAAGACTATTGTTTAAGGTTGACGGATACGCATGTCTTAGTTATTTTTTGGGTTTTTTTTTACGAATTGGTCAAACCCAAACTCAAACAAAAACATTGTTTTCAATCGTTATGAGTCTACAGATTGAATAGAATTTTATTATAAACAATTCTCTTGTAAATGGAATTTTTACAGCATTCTGAATGTAAAAATAAAGAAAAAAGCGTGCAAGACAATAAGAAACACTACCTGCCCCCAAAAAAAAGTGAAGTTTTGTTGAAATCGGTTGAAAAATGTAGGAAATCCGATCCAATATATAAACGTACAGACACACACGCACACACACATACAACTTGGGTTTTATAATAAGTATGATTTTACTGAAACAGGTCGCGAACGAAAAGTGTTCTTTTTACCCTGTCGCTGTGAAGTTTGAATTTTCCTTCTCCAAGTTGTGTTCGTAATAACGACTTTTTTTAAAAAAAAACAAAAAAAAACAAACTAATCCACAAATAGAAGCTCGATCTACTTGGCTTTCAGGCCTGTCTTTGAATATTCAAGAGCATTCGAAGTTATAATTTTTATTTACGATTTTCTTTCTTTTCAAACGCGACAGAAGATTTCATGATAACTGAGAGTAGCAAGGAAACTTAAATAAAATAAGAGCAACATTTTTACAATCGGTATAAAGCAATACAAGCTTCACACATAATGAGAAAGAGGCTTGGGAGAATCTAACACTCAGAGTGCATATTGAAGGCAAGCGAAGTTTGTCTGACTGAATTGCAGAACAAGGACATAGAGGGTTATTGAAGAGTAAGTTGTGGCGGGCCATGATAATCCACATCCTGAAAGACGATAGTGTATTTCATGAACCCCATGAACAACAAGAGAGTTTTAAAAAAAATAGTACTATTAATAAACTTGCAATCAGAAATAGATTTGTTGTAGTTGGGGAGAGTTCTACGTCTATTGCAGGTTTCCAGGTGTTTAGTAAAGACCATACGGTAAAGGTATGTCTTCAAAGGTATGTCTTCTACATCGACGGCAGGAAAGGGTTCGGCCTGACGAAACTGACTCTTTTCTTCTGCATTTTATTTTGCTGTGCCTCCATATAGTCACATATGTTGAATATATTGCACACTGACTCTGATAATATACACAATGAGGAATATGGATCCTTTTCAAGGAATCTTTGTATCACTTCTGTGGGGATCCAGGTCTCCATCAGCCATGGGCAAGTTTATATTTTCAACTAACTACAGTCCTTTTGCAGCATAAATTCAAAACTTGTAACCGTGGCTGAGTTTTAGACCTTATTATTAGTGATGCAATTGCTCCAATGCATTTTAAGATTAGTGTGAAAAAAAAAAACTCTGGTAGAAGTAAGCATAACTGGACCGGTATATGGCTTAAGATTCGGTACAATATCTAACTTAAGGCAGCACGATGGTTTTGCAGATTATGAATTTTGTAGACTACCAAAGCTTAATTAGTCTTAGAGGCACAAAGTCACTAAAAATATGAATGTTAAGTTCATATTTTAGTTTAGATTAGTCTTAACCAATTTCTTTGTTGAATCTACTGTTGGGCAATATGACTCTATTGAGGTAGATGAAGTTCTGGCCTATCTGTAGCGTTGATGGACCAATGTATACTGAAGGCAGGTGCTACTTTTGACTTAGCGTAGGTTGATGGAGAATCATAATCTTTGATAAGATTTATTAAGGATTAGTCAAAAAGGTTATTATTCAAAGTTTATATAACCATTAGGTTAGCGGTTCGGAATTGGAAATCGGTGAGCCATGTTCGAATTCCATCCAAGTTTGTTACATTACGTTACACCTACATACTTTTTTGGGGGTCGGGGAGTTAGGAATCCATAACTTCTTCCGCTAGTTAAATATTAGGACAGGCTGGGCCCTTCAACCTTGATTGACAAACAGTCTGGAGAAAAACAACCCTATAGTTAAAACCGTTTGGTCATGGAGCTAACAACCGCAACTCTTGAAAAACCTACTTCCTATGGAAACCGAAGCTCTCATATCTCACAGCTGGAGTGTACGGAACTCGAGTGAGTGATTGAGTGAGTAAACAATTAACCACATCGAAGGGGCGAATAAATATGTCTTGGAAAACGTAACTTGAGAAGACAATTTTATTTTTATATGTAATATATAATATTCTTGATACGTAGTCTGGACCACCGAATCAATGCGAACAATACCAAGGCTATATCAGTCAATTATGTGCCATGTGTGATACACGCTTAGGCGATCATATATCTTTCGATACATGACTGACGAAGCAGATTTTTCCCGCAGTAGGTTGCTATTTCTTTCTGCTGTAGACAACTTGCCACCCAAGGCTATAAAACCCAATCTGTCCTACTATTTGCCCATATCTGGAGAGAGACTATTTGGATTCATACCTTTACCAAAGTGAATGTAATGAACTCAATTGGAATTCGATCTCGGCTCTCCGATTCCTCAATCCGAGCCGCTATCCATTGGTCTACCGTGAACTTGTAATTCTGCTTAAAAGATGCAATGGTAATGCTAATGGCAATATTAGTCATTTCCTTATAAGGAAATATTCGGCATTCATTTGGGTGTCGGTGTTAACGTGATTCTTATTGAGGCTTCTAGAATCAAATGAAAAAGGCGTCGAGGTTGATTATCGCTAACGACTCGAGACATTTTCGCCTCAATTCTATAATCTATCGATTTATTCACAATTGACTGACTCGTGTCCTGCAATTGTGACTCAACAATGCTACGACCATAATTTCTAATGTCAAGACTTTGAGACTGCCACTCGAAAATTTTGCGAGAAACTCACTCAGTTGAAAGACCTACCGACTGACCAAATAATTACGTTTATCAAGAAATCCTACTTGTTGGAAATATTGTACATATTACATCTTAATTAATGTCAATGACATGATTTTAATTATTACAATACGGATATTTCCGACCATTCAGACATATCTGTCATTTTATTCTCATAGATATGAACAAAATTAGATAGATAGATAGATAGATAGATAGATAGACAGATAGATAGATAGATGTGAACAAAATGAGATAGATATGAACAGTATAAATAGATCAGTCGATAGATTGATAGATGTAAACAGGATGAGATAGAGAAATGTTAACCTAATGAAATAGATGGATCGATAGATAGATATGAACAGAATGTGATAGATAGATAGATAAATAGATAGGTGTGAACAGATGACTAATTAAAATAATTAATTAAAATATAGACTATTTATTTGTTGATGTGAATACATTTTCTTTGCCAATGTTAATATTTGAGCCCAGATAATAAAAGAAAGAATTCTAATTTTGACATAAGAGGCAAGGCTTTTTATCTTTTTTATTTTGCATGTTTCTTCAGGCTGGTAAGCAGCCCAGCCATGGCTCTCGACAGATTTCTTTTCTTTATTATTTACACATTGCTAAGACATCTTGGGAAAGATAGTGGAGAGATTTGGCTTTGAGTTCTCTTAGACTGGCCTCCATCCATTAAGTCTATACTGCTATTTAAACGATAGCTGGGAGCATAAGAGATGGATTCTTACCTTCCCCCAAGGAATTTATGTGAAAATGAATGCAAACAGGTTCGGCCAGAATTTGAACTCGATCCACCGACTCCCCTTTTCCACTGTAATAACTGTTACTCTACCCTCTCGTTCTACTTTTTATTACATGTGTAGTATTACTTTACCAGCTATGGATTATATAACAGGCTAAAATGGGTTGCCTATCCTTGTGTGGTCTAGGGGAATGATTACTCTGAATTCAAAAAAATGTAGAAAGAAACAGAAATAAACTTCTCTAAGAAGTCATGGCAATTCAGAGAAAATAAATAAATAAAACTAGTCTGTGAAATGCCACTGAAAAAAGCTGAAAGTAAAATTGGCGAGCAAAATTCAGATTCCCGCCTAGACAGAGGCGTTCACTTTCGGAAAAAAAAAATTGAAAAAGCGCGAATCCAAATCTTCTCCCACCAGCTATGAGTTAAATAGTTAGGTTGACTAGGCTTCCTATCTCTAGGTAGACGTCAACTAGGTTTGGTTTGGTTTATTTTGTTTTAAGACATCCCAGCCTCAATTGGTTATTTAATACCGACAAGATTTTTAGGTTAGGTTCGTATGAATATAATATCTATTCTTTGTAAGAAATAAGTTTGGAGATAAAGTTTCATTGACGTATTTTTTGTAAAGAGGGTTTTTGCTTGTTTTTTTTACGATAAAAATGTATTTTTAATCTTTCATAGTTTTTTGACCCCAGTTTGGGAGAGGGGTAACTATTTTTTCCTAGGTAGGAACCTAACATGTGCTACCAACCCGAGTCAGAGAGGCCCTGGGAACAACAGCAATTAAGAAGTGGCTCCACGCTCCTCAAAACGTCCCGATTAGAGGCCTTGCTGCCGGATGTAGTTTATCGTCTCGCCAATTGGAAGAAGGATAACTCTGAATTTAAAAACGTGGAGAAGGCAATGGGAAAACAATCTTCCCTCCAAAAAAATTCATTGCAATTTACTGATAATAAATAAATGGTATTTTGTGAAGAGCCATGATTGCCTATGCCAAAAAATGGTCATAGCATTTTCTTAAAATATGATTAGAGAAATATTTTTTTCTTTTCTTTTATGCGCCATGTCCCTTCAGGAAGTGGGCGATAATGGCTCTCCACGGAGAAATACTAGTAAAAAAATAGTCATCGTAATTTTTTTAGGATATGTGACGTGTCTCATCGTTTAGTCAATCTCTGTTTCTTTGTTGTATTTGTAAAGAAATAGTTTTTACATTTGTTACTTTTTAAAATGATTTCACCCTAAGAAAGACGATAAAACCACCAAGGCGCAAGTGGTTACTGTTGGTAAAAGAATCCGAGAAAAATATTAAGGAGAGAAGCCAATAAATGAATAGCAAATTAAAGAGAAAGATGATGATGATTAAAACTGCATTTAAATTTTTCAAGGTCAAAGTTGACCATAAATCAAGAAACCGGGAAAGAATTTGGCAAGCGAGAAATGCAAGAAAAGAAACTGTTAGCATAGAACTTATGGCTGAATCTAATAATTTCAAATGTAAAATAATGAAACCGAGCTATTAATCTAGTAAAGCGCTTTAAAAACAAAATAAAAGATAAGAATGAGATCAATTTGCCAAATTGGTGCTGAAATGTTCTCAATCTTGAAAGACTTCCCAAAATCGATATTTTAACGGGCAAACAAGTTTTAGATGTAATAATATTCGAATTTCTCAGGTGAAAACTTATTAATTTTGACTACTGTTTCATCTTATTTCTGTTGCTTTTCGTTACATGAGTTTATAAATATAACATTAAACAAATTTATGAGATAAAGCACGGCCATTATTAGCATGGTTTATTGTTGATAGCGTAATAACGATATAATAGAACTGGGGAAAAAAACCCAACAGAAATAAGATTAATAAATACCCGTAATGAATTCATAAGAAGAAAGAAGGCAGCTGATGATGATGAGAAAAGTGATGGGGTTTAGGAAAAAAAATTTCCATTTTTACGAGGAAAATATATTTCTTTGTTTTTTCTTAAAATGGTTGAGATAGACATAAAGACACGCAGGGAAACGTTCGTTAGATAGATAGATAGATAGATAGATAGATAGATAGATAGCCTGAGATATATAGAAAGAAAGAAAGAATGGAAGATAAATATAGCACTAAATGATGCACTACCATCGTATGCAGGCGTGTCAATATACTCGCAGGTACACACACGCACACACACACACACACATATATATATATATATATATATATATATATATATATATATATATATATATATATATATATATACCCTTGGGAAAGGTGTGTATCCTCTCCTTCTCCCTCCAGCTATGGGTAAATAGCAGGACAGACTGAGTTCTATAGCCTTGGATGGCAACTGGTCTAGGAGAAGGACAACTCTGAATTCAAAACCTGCGGAGAGTCGTTTGGGAACCTTGTGGCACGTAGTGCACCAGGTCTCTGTATTCGGCCTTCAATGTGCGACATAGTGCCGCAGTGCGGCCCTTCAAAAAGTGTGGATGAAATCTCATGTGCTGTTGTCGGGCTGTCGGTTTCCTGGGAGCTGATCTGCTTGACACTCATACGTCGAATTCGACGGGACAGTCGAATATATATATATATATATATATATATATATATATATATATATATATATATATATATATATATACACACATATGTATATACATGCATGCACAAAAACTGAGGCACGCATTACGATAATTAAGATATAATAAAATAAGATAAAATTCGGAAATAGGATGCTGTAGAAAAGTGACAGAAAACGAAAAAAAAAAAAAAACAGACGACAAAGAAAAAGTTAAATACAATAAAAATACAAAAAATAAAAGTGTTCATTTCAACGATACCAATGACTGGCGAAAGTGGGTTTTTGAATTAATATAAGATCAAGAAATGTCTGGTGATACCAACATTGAAAACAATAGGAGGTTATATTATCGGAGACAGAATGGTGTTGGAAATTGCCAAATTCGGACATTCCATTTTTCCCAAATAATTTATTTTTATCTTCCTTCTTTATTTCTATCTGTTTATCACAGGCCGTTCACATTTATCTATCTCATGATGATCTTATCTATCTATCTATCTATCTATCTATATATATATATATATATATATATATATATATGTATATATTCACCATCAGTGTATCTATTTATCTATCTATATTTGTTTATTTCTATCGTTCTATATATATTTCTATATATAGTTTTTTTTCTGTCAATATCTATCTATCTATCTATCTTTGTTTATTTCTATTTATATATCTATCTACCTATCTATATATCTATCTACCTTTCTGTATTTGTTTCATATCTTGTTTCCTGTTTAGGAAGTGTTCCTCGGTTCCTACGGTAGCGTGTTTACAGTTTTCTGGTTGATGTACCGGCTGGTATTTAGGAGCCTGAACAATTGCATAGCGTCTTGAGAAGCTGCCCTGATAAACAGTCGCATAATATCGGGGTTTCTACAGCACTATGTCGCGCATAGAAGGATATCTCTGTAAGCACCTACGGTGGGCAACACGCCAATGCGACGCGTTGCTGCAGTCTGCGCCACTTCCCTTCCTGCACATTTTACATTAGACGACGAACGCTACTACTACCTACTGGTCCTTTCCTTACCAAAACATCACGCCAAGATTATAAGATACCAAAGATATAATCTAAAGCAGCTCAACAAAACTCATCTAAACCCCTGCTATGGGTCCTTACCTATAACTACAGAATGAACTCTTCCTAACACTATGTATACTATGCCTCTCAAGAGAGAGGGACGAATCAAGCCGAGCTTCTCGGCTTGACGGTCGAATTCTCTGCCTCTGAGCAGAGAGGAACCCGGACGAGGCTCCGACGAAGGGCAGATTCTCGTTCGGGGAGGTTGACCCACCCGATCCCGTTTATACGGGTTCTACGGGCATTTTTGGCCGAGCCTACGGGCTCGGGAAACCCACGTTAAACTCGGCCTTGTGCCACATTCAACCCTCGTGGTGGATGGCTAGATATCGAATCGAGTCGAGCCGTTTCGGCTCGACGGTCGAACTCTCTGCCTCTGAGCAGAGAGGAACCCGGACGAGGCTTCGCCAAAGGGTAAAGCTTCGTTCGGAGAGGTTGACCAACCCGATTCTGTTTTTACAGTTTCTACGGGTATTTTTTTGGCCGAGCCTACGGGTTCGGAAAACCCACATAAAACTCAGCCTTGTGCCACATCTTTCCCTCGTGGGGGGGGGGGGCAAGTAAATATCGAATCGATTCGAGCCGATAGTAGTTCACTCCAAACCAGGCTGACAGTCATACTAACACCTTCCACATCTTGTATTATTATTTCGTGTAATATGCCTTCGTTATTTCTACTCTTGTGTTCTTGTTCTTCCTTGGTCATAACCTGGACCATAACAACCCCTCAACCTGCCTTTCTCTAATGTTCGTGGTATTCATGCCAACATCTACAGTGTGGAATCGTTCCTCTTCGAAAAGTCTCTAATGCCCACATGCATGTCCTGGGAGTTTATATCCGTGAACATCTTCCGCTGGCTAGAGAACTCTGTCTTGAATCTCCACACCTCTCTTACATGTGTCTCTGTCTCTCTCTACTTAACTCAGTCGGCTATCTCTTCTTTCTCTGCCGTTCCCCTTTTACTCATAACTATTGCGTACTAGATAGTATTTCTGATAATATAAGCAAGGACATCTCCCTATACTCGTCTGAAAATATATTTGTATTTAGTGACTTTAATGCCCACTATGCCAGGTGGCGTAGACACTCTGTCACTGACCCCCGCTGAAATCCAGACCCTTAATTTCTCAATCTCTCACGCAAGTGATGGACTTCCTCACACATTCCCTCAGTAATCCTGATGAACACGCTTCTCTTCTAGATCTCTTTTTACCGCTATCCTGGACTCATGTCATACTTTGCAGCTCTGTCCTCTTGTCAAATCTGATTATATCTTTCTGTTATCAACGTGATGATTGGGACTCGTCCCGCGACTTCATTCGTGACGTTCCTTGGAATGCAGTTTTTAATCATGTTCATAAATGTTCATTTGTTCATAAATGCGCGTCTGATATCTCCTCCTGGGTGAAAGCCGGTATCGATGCTTTCATTCCAGCAAGGAAATACCAAGTTAAACCGCATTCATCTCCTTGGTTCTCACCGACATGCGCAGCCGCTATAGCTCACAGGAATTTCTCTTTCCAGTTGTACCAGAGCGACACGGCTGATTGCAACAGTCGTATCTGTCTCTGCTCGTAACGAGTGCAAGCGTGTCCTCAAAGAAGTGTACTATTTGCTGGCAAAATAAAATTAAAAACGTATAGCACCTCGTACGTTCGATCCTATAGATTATTGGCGGCTCTGCAAGAGTGTGCTGGACAACAGAAAATCTCCAATATCTCCTCTATTCTATCAATTTGAAGTCGTGTCATCTACAGCAAAAAAGTTTGAAAGCCTTGCTCTCAAATTCTCTTGCAACTCAACATTCGACACAATTGGTCTACCCATATTTGATTTTTCTCCAAGAACAGAGGCTCTAATGCGCATAACCCTGTCACAGGTCTCGGACATTATTTATAAATTAGACTCCTATAAGGCAAATGGAGGTGACAGGATCCCAGCCGTCGTCCTAAAGAAATGTGCTCCCGAGCGGGCTCTAGTTCTTTCCAACTATTGCCTCACTGCTTCCTGCTTGTTGGAAGACCTCCTGAGTAGCTCCTGTTATTAAGAACTGTGGAGAACCCTCTGACTCCTCTAACTATTGCCCTATTAGTCTCCTAAAGCTTTTCAGCAAAGTATTCGAGGCTTGAACCAATTCTGAAGTCGTTACCTTTCACGGCCTACTCTCTGACAACCGATATGGCTTCCGTTTTGACAGACCTGCCGCTGATGTTCTAACGGTATGTATATCAAGCTCTTGATAATAACGGCAAAGCTTGTGCTGTGATTCTGGATATCTCGAAGGCGATTGACAGCGTTTGACACGCTTGTCTTCTACGTAAGCACAAGGGCTACGGTATTACTGGACGTTTGTTTAATTTAATGCAATCGTTCCTATCAAATCGTGTAATGAAGTTTGTTTTGAACGGGTTCGCTTTCAGATCCTTTCACGCGAACGCGAGTGTCCTCCAAGGCTTTATCCGGGGCCTTACTCTCTTCGTCAATGATATTTTTGATGTCATCAGTCATCAAGTAGGCATTTATGCTGATGACACTATCATTCACCCCTGTCTCAATTTCAAATCCATAAGAGTTGACAATGTCAACCTGGCCGGTGCTCTTGGAAAGGACCTCCAATCAGTGGTTAACTTGGGTAGAAAATGGCTCGTAAATGTCGATGTTTCCAAAACGAAACTGCTCTCATTTAACCGCCATAGAGAAACTTTCCCTGTCCGCCATCAGCATAGCTGATGCTAGACTCATGAAGAACAACACACTGTGCGTTCTTGGCCTCACTTTTTCAACTGATTTGAAGTGGAACGAATCAATATCTGCATATATGGCAAGGAAAGTTGGGTCACTGTGTCGTGTAGAAGGTTTTTTCTCGTTAGAGGCCATCTTTCACATTTACAAATCTACTATTCGACCGTGCATTGAATACAGTTTCCATATCTGGGCAAGTGTCCTGCTACTAATTTCGAGGTTCTAAATAAAATCCAAAGAAAGATCTCCAATGTAATCGATCCTGACTTGGCATCTCGATTTCAATCACTTTCTCACCGATTTGACGTGGCTTTTCTACAAATATTTTCATGGCTACTTCTTTGACGAGCTTTTAACCCTGGTGTCCGGACAACGTGAGTTTAAGCGTGCTACTATATTGTCATCTAAGTACATCTCTTTTACTGCTGAATTAGATAAATGTAAGTGTCACTTCTACTCCAACAATTTCTTTTCCGCACTTCCAGCCTGTGGATCTCTCTTCCGTTTCCTTGCTCCCCTAGATGACTACAATCTTCAAAAATTTAAATGCAACGTCAATCGCCATCTTCTATCTTCTTGAACCCCAGTCAGCTTTTATTTTCTCCTCACCAACCCCATATCCAGTCTTTTCTCTCACCTTCACTCTATGTAACTCCCGGCGTAC